GCCACCCAAATCTCAGGTCGTGTCCTTCTAACTCCAGAAGCCTTCTATTTCTCAGCAGCACCCACTCTTTCACCCAAACCAAACAGCGAGCTGCAATTTCAAATCAGACAGACCCAGTCCTCCTCTTTCCTTTACATCTTGTAACACCTTATATTTAACTCATGGTTTTTTCCCCTACCACACACATTTAGATATATCCTTCTGCCACTGTTTAAATGGTGCATCAGTTGTCAAAACAGGTGTTGTCTGAAACAAAAACATCATTCTAGGCAATGTCTTAATTCATTTTTATCACAGGAATTCTCCCCAGCAATGACAGTTGAAGTTTCTCCCATCTTAACATGTCTTTTTGAACTTCATTCTGATGTCTTAATATAGTTATTTTGAAATAAGAAACAGTTCATATTTGTCCTAGTGATACCCAGATACTTTACCTTCTTCTCAATCTTAAAACCCGTTTTATTCATCAATTCTCTTTGATCTTCTATTTTCATATTTTTGTTAACATCTTCATCTTCTGTTTATTAATCTTGAAGTCTGCTAATGTACTAAATTATTTTAATTTGCCCATTAATATTTCAATTCCCTTTAAAGGATTTTCCAGAACCAACACTAAGTCATCTGGAAAAGCCCCTAACTTACAAGTTTCTTTTTTAATCTTTACTCCCACAATCCTCTCATCTTGTCTTATATCTCTATTCAGTATTTCAACAACCAAAATAAACAAGAGAGGAGACAATGGGCATCCCTGTCTTGTTCCTTTTTGTATCTCACAAGGCCTTATTAAATCTCCATTAACAATTATTTGTGTTTTCTGCGAAGTGTAAATAGATCTTACCGATTTTATAAAGTTCTCTCCAAAATTCATATCTTCCAAAACCTTGAACAGGAAAGCCCAGTTCAAATTGTCAAAGGCCTTCTCTGCATCTGAGAAAATCAATGCAGCTCCAAATATTCCAAAATGTCCAACACATTTCTAATGTCGACCTTTAACTGTCTTTTAGGTAAAAATCCACATTGATCCTCATGAATAAATTCTTGCAAGATTATTTTCAGTCTATCAGCTAGAATTGTTGTGAACAACTGATAGTAATTATTCAATAACAATATCAGCCTATAGTTTCTTGTTAAAGTCAAATCTTTTCTGTAGTCAAATCTTGTCAAATTAGAAATTATCCAAGAAGAAAAAGAGATAGACCAAAGAGATAAGAATGTCTTATAGGATTTTCTTCCCTTTCTTGCTGGCAATGTTTGTTAGATCAGAAAACACTGACTGGCCTACACTAAGCCACCTTGCTAAATGACAATTTAAATGCTGGTTTTCTAGTTGTAGTCCAACATTCTAACTGAAATATGGAGGAGTTTACACTACCTTAGCCAAACTATCTTGTGATAATCAGGGCTGGTGGTGGACAGAGCTAGAATGGGGACTGCCCCATTTTTTCTCTTCCATCCAATCTTTTGCAGATTACCTCCTCAATTCCATTGTCCCTTTCAACTTCTCCTCTGATTTTTCTTTCCCATCCGTTTCCTTTCTCTTCAGTTTCATCCCCCTCCCCCGCCC